CTCAAAATCTTTCAAGACCACACATGTTAGTATTAATGAAAATATTTTAATAGTCTAATTGTAGTCACTTTTTAAAGTCTGCCTAAACATTTTCTTATTTTCTTGATTAGCAAGAACCAGCATCATCCTCCCCAGTTATTAACTTTCTCACTCTGATATATTTTTTCACATCCATCCCTAAGTGCCCTGCCCTCTGATAGAGCTCTCTGAATCAGCATTAGACTTTAATGTTGTTAGCCTTAAACCACTGGGAAGCGATAAAATCAAGTTGCTGATCTCTATTTGCAATACAATTAAAATAACCCTTAAAAGTTCTGATTTAGGTAATAAGTGCTTGTAACTGTTTTTTCTCCTAGACATGGGTCATCTCCAGGTAGATTACAGAGATAACAACAGGCTGCACCCAAGCGAAGAGTCTTCGCTGGATTCCACCACTTCGGTCGTGGTTCCCATCATCATCTGCCTCTCTATCATCATAGCATTCCTGTTCATCAATCAGAAGAAACAGTGGATCCCACTGCTCTGCTGGTATCGGACACCAACCAAGGTACTGTACTGAAAAATGTTCAGTCTCTTAAATAATGAAATTAGGAAAGCTTGCATTCTTATATTCCCTTTTATGTTAGTCAGTGAAATGTTTACCTTGCTCTTCGTAGCCTCAAATGTATATATAGTATTTGCCCAGGGCTGGATCCATCACTGGGTGAATTATCCATCATCCATTGGTTAATGAATCTTGACCTTTCACGAATCCAGTTTTCAGGATTTATTTTAAAGTTTTCAAATGAATTGGGTACATTCTCTACGCTGGGCACATGGTCGGTCCCCAGGGTTCAGAGCTGGGAGGAGACCCATGTGTAATTGTGTGCAACGACTGGCCCAGCCTGGAAGCTAATAATAGTTGGAGTGACTAGAAATCACCCTTTATTTTAAAATCTGCCTGTCTGGTAAATCCCACTCATTCTTCAAGGATTTGAAAATGTTATAATGTTACTTCACCCATCTTTTTTTTCCGTTCCTTCACCTGCTATTTGACGTGGTTTACTGACATTTCACCTTTAAATGCAATATGTCAGTGTCCCTTATAAAAGTATAGCTGCTACTAGATAGAATGTACTACTCCACATACAGGCTGACCATCAATGTATTGTGAAGCTGTTACCTCACTTGAATTAGGCATGAAACTTATGTTCATTCAGGATTTATAAAGCAGCTAATTCTTTGTGGTCTTTCTTCCTCTCATTAAATAGCCTTCTTCCTTAAATAATCAGCTGGTATCTGTGGACTGCAAGAAAGGAACTCGAGTCCCAGTGGACAGTTCCCAGAGAATGCTAAGAATTGCTGAACCAGATGCAAGATTCAGTGGCTTCTACAGCATGCAAAAACAAAACCATCTACAGGCAGACAATTTCTACCAAACAGTGTGAAGAAGGGCAACTTAGATGAGATTTGAAAAGACAGAAAACGACTAAATCTGCTCTTAAAAGTCAAGTAGGGTTTGTGCACTTGCTTAGTGGATTGTATTGGATTGTGACTTGATGTACAGCGCTAAGACCCTCCTGGGATGGGCCCTGTCGACAGCAGTGTGCAGAACAAGCATTCCCACTTTTCCTCAAGAAAACTGACCAAGTGTTTTCTTAGAACCAAAGTTTTTAAAGTTGCTAAGATATATTTGCTTATAATATAGCTGTAGAGATATTTGGGTTTGGGGACAGTGAGTTTGGTTGGGGAAATGGGTGGGAGGGTGGTGTTGGGAAGACAAATTGGTCAGCTTGGCTCGGGGAGAAATCTAGTAAAATAAAAGCAGTTCCATGGCCCAGCATCCAGAGGGTGTCTTTTCCTGCTGCTCTGAAGACTGCAGTGGTTGCTGCAAAGCTCAGGCCTGGACGAGCAGGAAACACGAAGGCCTTGCAATCCAGCTGCAGTAACCACCTCAGAACTACCAGACGAGCGCGTCAGAACCTCTTAATAGCCATCCCAGGTCTAAAGCCACAAGCTTCTTTTCTATACAGTCACAACTGCAGTAGGCAGTTAGGAAGCAAGGGAAATGCAAGAGTAAAATTTCTCTAAAGCGGGTTCTTAGGAATATACACAGTTATACTTTTTGCTGCTTTGTTTTTTTCTTCCAAGCCAATCAGCCAGTTACTAGCAGAGTCAGCAGATGAACAAGACGTAAGTCACTTCTTGATACGTGAGCACTGGAGCTTTTCTGACAACTACGTGGCAGGAAGGAGGGGGAGGGGGAAGGACAGCAGGCATTTCCAGGGGCTGTACTTCACTGTTCCTCTTTGCTTTCTTCTGTCCTCATGTTGGTTGTTCATAGTTTTTGTTGAAGCTCTAGCTTAAGAAGAAATTTTTTTTTTAAAAGACTGGGGATTTTTTTTTTCCTTATTATATACTGATTCTACAAAATAGAAACTACTTCATTTTAATTGTATATTATTCAAGCACCTTTGTTGAAGCTCAAAAAAATTTATGCCTCTTTAAAACTTTAGCAATTATAGGAATATTTATGTAACTATCTTATGCTTCAGAAAACAAAAGTATTTGTGTGCATGTATGTGTGTATATATATATATATATATACACACATACATATATATTTATACACATACAGTTTGTTTTCCTGTTGAATGTATTTTTATGAGATTTTAACCAGAACAAAGACAGATAAACAGGCATTCCATATCAATGCTTTTCGTCACTTACAAATTTTTGAATAACAAAATCTCATTCTACCTGCAGTTTAATTAGAAAGAAAGATGTGAGTGATTGTGTAAATACACATAAGCACATTCACCCACAGCCCAGTGTGTATGTATGTGTGCGTGCACACTCACACGCCTTAAACAGTCAGCATGGCACCTGCTCTGGAGAAGGTGTTCCTTTATTAAAATCTCCTCATTCGGATTTGCTTTCATTGGTTTTCAGTTCACTCACGGGCCAGAGACATCGATGGCAGTTTATATGAATCACTAATCAGCTCCTGGATTTTTTTTTTTTTTTTTTTTCAAACAACTGTTTGAAACAACTACTGGAACATTGTCCACAATAAGCTGGAAGTTTGTTGTAGTTTGCCTCAAATATAACTCTGACTGTATACTATAGTGTTAACTTTTCAAACAGCTCTTAGCACTTTTATACTAATTACCCATTTGTGCGTTGATTTTTCTTTTAAAAATGCTTGTTGTGAAAGACACAGATACCCAGTATGCTTAATGTGAAAAGAAAATGTGTTCTGTTTTGTAAAGGAACTTTCAAGTATTGTTGTAAATACTTGGACAGAGGTTGCTGAACTTTAAAAAAAATTAATTTATTATTATAATGACCTAATTTATTAATCTGAAGATTAACCATTTCTTTTGTTTTAGAATATCAAAAAAAGAAAAGAAAAAGGTGTTCTAGCTGTTTGCATCAAAGGAGAAAAAAAGATTTATTATCAAGGGGCAATATTTTTATCTGTTTCCAAAATAAATTTGTTAATGATATGTAACAAAAATAGATTTACATCAGATTAGTATAAAATTTTGTTGACAATTAATCCATTCCTGGCATAAAAAGTCTATCCAAAAAGTTGTAAATGCTTGCTTTTTGTTTTTCAAAAAATCATGGCCGTATTATGAAAATACTAACAGGATATAGGACAAGGTGTAAATTTTTTTATTATTATTTTAAAGATATGATTTATCCTGAGTGCTGTATCTATTACTCTTTTACTTTGGTTCCTGTTGTGCTCTTGTAAAAGAAAAACAAATATAATTTCCTGAAAAATAAAATAGATATATGGCACTTGGAGTGCACTGTAGTTCTACAGTTTGCTTGCTTTTCTTTAAAAAAATTACAAAGCTGTACGGGGATTATCTACAATTTGGTTCTTGGCAGCAAATAAACATTTTGAATGTAAGCCACACAATGTAGCTCTGGAAAAGATTGCGTATCTGGGATTAGAAAGATGGATAGCCCTTTTGTGTAAGGTCACCAGTCCAGTGAGCCTCCAGCGCCACAGGCAGCCCCGATGCCTCCCTCAGAAGGCAGACGTCCCCCAAGGAATCCTTGTCCAAAAGGCACCCGCCAGAGTCTACTGCATAGAGATGCTGTACTTAGTTAGCTAAGGGGGGCAAAAACCTGCCTGCGTCAGTCACAGGTCAGAAAAGTGCTTATCAGTAAGTGAGTGTCAAAACGAATTCATGCACAGGTGCCGGGATTGTGGTGGGAAGCCCTGCTGCTGAGGAAGAAAACGTTTATCAAGCAAAATGAGAAACCTAGTTACAAGGAGACTTCTTTAACCTGACAAGGAAAAATAGGTCTATTTCCATACATTTTAGAAGCATCAACTTAAGCTATAAAATGGACCATTGTCAAACCTCTTCAAGAACACATCCCCACGACTTTTTATGTCTTTTAAAGCTACATGTCTTTAGATACAAGGCAAAATTTCTACAAATGCAGATCAAATTTGTTTAAATTATTATTAATATTATTTGAGGGGAAGAGGCAAATAAGTTCCATATTTCCACTGTCAAATAAGACGTCAGTAAAACAAGGAAAGCATCTCAGCTTCCACATATCCTCAGATAATGGCTGCCATGCCGAGCTGGCATCAAACTTCAAACCGAGCTATTACCAGCTTTTGCAGTCGCGGTGTCTCAATGATGGAGTGGGCTGAGGAATGCGGATTATCTCCGTATGCTTATGGATGTTTAAGTGGAATGTAAAAAGACCCTTGATTGCAAGTCCCATATGCACTCATGTCATATAAGGCTGCCGTAGCTGTTCAGAATTTCGCAAAGCCCCAGAAAACAAGCAGGACTTCGATCATTCCACAGCAGCTCTGCACAACATGGCAAGGTCCCTCTCCCCAACCCTTAGTTCTCTGGGGCTGGTCAGGGTTTCATCAGCTCACCCATGAAGGGATGAACTCTGCAAGGGATAGTAGTGGAAGCATTCCAAGGGACGAAAAATGAATAATAGACAAAAACTCAAAATAAGACTCAAGTATATCTTTTTTTTTTCCATTTATTAAATGTCACTGACTTGATTGGAACCAGCAAAATGTTGCATGACTAGTGATATATCCATAAGTAGCTGTTTCTAGAATTAGTACTTTATAGAGAAATAGGCATCATAAAATCAACCACAGTAATGGGAAAGGGGCAACGCTGCAGCATATAGTTTAAGCACCTTAAAGGATGCAAGCTCCTTTTACAGTACACTTCTTCACGGACACATGAAACAAAACATTTAAATGTCTAAAAGCTAATACAAGATTCTGAAAGTGAATGGCAACTTCATGGTTAAAATCGGAACATGGCGACAAGCAGCAAGCTATACAAATCCACCATCTCCAACAGTGTCAACATTCACTAAGTAAGTATTTAGCCAACGTAATGCATATTCTGGTGTCACTTCTTCAAGAACTGCCCAAGCTTGTTCCGTTTCAGTCTCTTGGCAATACTGCTAGGTAATACGTATACTGACAGTTCTCTTATAAAAATCAGTGTTGGTTCTTGCCATCACTGAAGAATAGCTATAGTATAAATCTCTTAATGCTTTAATCCAGTTCTTCAGTGCAATTTAGATCTAGAAAGCCACAAAAATGAGCATACTGCTAATGAAAAATACAACTGCACATACACAGTATTATTCCCCCTTACTCTACTAAAGAACAGTTCATGATTATTAACAAATTTAACAAAAACCATCTCTAGATTTCAAAATAGTGCCATATGTCTTTATAATATAAAGAATTAGTGGAGTCATGATCTATTAATACTGAAATCACAAAGCCAAGTTGATGTGCGCTTCATTTCCAGCAGCAGTGCAGGAAAGCAGCGGCAGCCAGCTTTCAGAAGAACGCTATAGAAACCCGAGCTCGCCGTCCACGGAGGGAAAAGTGCTCCCAATGTGATGCCATTCTATGTAGGACACAGAACTAGAAGACGAAAAAGAAAACTTTTAGTTAGATGCAAATATATTTTATATACATTTTCATATGTATATAAAAAAACACTAAGGAATGACAACTAAAATATTAATGCAAGGATCTATAGTAGCAATTTTTAAAAAAGGTTGTAAAAGGCTACACCCAACAATGAAGTTCTCTCAGAACACATTTATTAGAATTTTCCAGAAATGAGATACCAAAAGGCTATGTCCTTTAAGACACCATATAGAAATAATAAGGCCATAGCATTAGCCCTATACTACAAGGCTTGTAACACAGCAAACGGGCTCCATGGTGAAGTCAAAGGGTGCACGTTTCTGCACGTATTTTTATTCCTATCAAAGACCAGCACATCAGCAGCCATAGCTCCATCTCTAGCCTTTAGTTCCACTGAGGGTGAGGGTAGCAGCAGGCTGCGGTGTGGTAATTATGCAAGTGAGAGAAGAGAAGCTTAATTAGACCATCCATACAGTGTCCATCCTATCCTCCTCAGGCCAAATGAAACCACTTTTCTTTCACTTCTCACCTTTGCATTAAAACTAAGATGATGTATTTAGGCAGCCAAGCCACACTCATCAGTGTTAAAACAACAAAGACAAAGACAAGAAAGGGAAAGGAGAGTTTGCCCTTTGAAGCGACTCTCCCTCCCAGGTGAAGTGTTCCACTACTGGTCCCCAAGGAAGAGGAACAGTTAAATGGCTGTGAATTTCCAGGACGGGTGGAAAACAGCATTTTCAGTTATCCTACATCACCACCTTTCCACACTCGAATAACTCCATACATTATAAAAAACCAGCTGCCATCGAGTCAGCTCTAACTCATGGCAACCTCATGCGTGTCCAAGTACAACTGCACCACAGAGTTTTCAACGGCTAATTTTTTAGAAGTAGATAGCCAAGGCTTTCTTCCAAGGGGCCTCTGGGTAGATTTGAACCTCCGACGTTTCAGATAGCAGCCAAGTGTGTTAACCGTTTGCACCACTATTTTCTCAGACTATAGGAGCACCGCTGTAGTCTGAACCCTTTTCCACCCAGTCCTCGCAATACAAAGCCAAGACTAACCACAGCACATGCACACCAACAGCTCATCAGAAGCGAGGACAGTGGATGAAGAACTGGGCTTGCCGACAGGAGCCAGGGCCTGAGCATGAGGGGCAGGAGAGACGGGTGCTGCTTCCCTAAGGCATGCGGGATAGGTTCACGTGACAGTCCTAGGTTTACAGAAGAAAGAATGGAAAACCACATCCCCCAGAGCACTCTGTTCTCTGGGTCATAAAATTCTTCCATGCAGTCAAATGGTAAAAATAGCTAGAGAATGTCTCAGAAGTTCGTTCTATCTCTGGCCCTCATGGCAGTGCCCTAGGGAACCACTATAATTACAGATTAAGACGTGTTCTTTATGTTCGTCTCATTGCTTTTTCACATCTAGAAGAACAAACCTCAGAACAATCCAGCTTTCACACCAATGCTAGCGCAACACAAAAGCAAACAAAGATGTCAGGTATAAAAAATTCAGAACTCAATAGGGAAAAGAAAAAAAAAAAAATCTCTGCATCAGAAAAAAAAAACAGCTTATAAAACAGTAACGTCAATTCAGTCTTTCCTACCCCTGTTAACCCACTAGTGGCCAGCTCGTGTTTTTATAGCCACATCAAGTCTCCTGAGCCCCCTGTGTGTGCTGAGCTTCCCTCTTTATGAAGCTATGGGATAAAGTCCAATGTGAGATATCTAGGAAATCGCAACCTTCCTTATGCTCAGCTCACAACTCTAATGGAGAAAAGAGAGGACCCAAAACAGAAACATGTTACCAGAAGAATGTTCTCAAAATGTGATCAAACACTACAAGATGCATTTTGTGATGCGTTGCAAATCTGTTGCCTGAGTAACCACTATTAAAAAAAAATTTATGAGGAAGTATTAGTTTTATCTATAGTTAAGTTCTCCAGTCCCCTCTCTATCAACCAACTTTTGCCCTTTCCTCAGCAAAGTAACTGAAGCTTAGTTTCTCAAATGATCTTCTTTTCTTTTCCTCATCACTATTCCCATCCTGGCACCTTGCTTCCAAGATTTATGGTTCATCTCTCACTGCCCTGCGCTTATAAAAGTCAGTTCTCTTCTTTTCCCCATTCCTGTCCCTTATACTAACCCCTTCAGTATTTCTTTTGGGACTATAAGTGATGTGACCATCCCTTCCTTCACCCATCCTCACTGATGACCCACCCTTCTTCCTTTTCTACGGAGATCGTCCTTCTCAAGCCCTCCCAGGGTTGACGTGCGGGCACCTGATACTCACATAGCTATGGCAATATCTCAGTAATGTTCTTCCCCTGCCTTTCTCAGTGTTTACAGTTTGGCTGTGGAAATTATTTCCATCAGAGGACCTCAAAAAGAAGTTAAATTTTATATACCCATAATTTATAATGTTGGTACCATCATCACCCTACACACCAATAATCAATAAAAGACTAATAAATGTTGTACACTTAGAAGTTGTTTTTTAATCTATTAGCAAGATGATACATTTACTGACTGATCAGAACTTCCAACCCATTGTACACAGGCCATTATGGAACTCACCTTTCAGTATATAATCAGTTAACAAGCTTGGGACTTTTTCACTGTCCTCCTTCATGGCACAAAGAACTGCAAAATATAAGAGAAAAGGAAAAGGCAACAATTTAAGACTCAAAAACATTTAATTCTAATCACTGTGGCCTTAATCTTAATTATATGATATAATCAATTCATACATATTATAGATTCATACACATTATTTTCAGAAAACAGGAATACAGAGTAAAGGCACAAGAGTTTATTTTGGCTGAATAAGCCCTTATTCAGGTAAAAATATTCCAGGTACTTGAGAGTTATTTCCCTGACTTAAAGTTTCTCAACAGTGGAGGCAAGAAAGAGGAACAGGATTTTTGACCCAGAACCTCAGTTTTGTACTGATAAACATTGGAAAACGCGCGAGCCCAATGTGCCCTCTCTGTTGCTGCAGAGCTCACAAACTGGGGAAACTCTGAGATACATGGAGAGTTAGCGACACTCTTCAAAGAGCTTATCTGTCAGCCTTCTTTGAAATTTTTTTTTTAAAGACCAAAATAAAAAACAGAATTCCATGAAACAACACCCACCTGCCAGGCTATTTACTCCTATACTATGGAGCCCTAGTGGCACAACAGTTAAGCACTCAGCTGCTAACCGAAAGGTTGGTGGTTTGAACCCACCCAGCCGCTCTGCCGGAGAAGAGACCTGGCGATCCTGTAAAGATTGCCTGTAAAGATTACAGCCTAGGAAACCCTATGGGGCAGTTCTACTCTGTAACATGGGGTCGCCATGAGTCAAAAATTGACCAGACAGCACCCAACAACAACAATGCTATGGAGGAACCTGGGCGAATTAGCCATATCCTAAAGGGAATCTTTGACAATTTTATTTTCTAAGAAAAGACTGAAATAGAAAAAACAGTCAATTATTCTAGTGGTTTAAAAATAAAAACTAGACCATTCAGGTAGGATAAACCCACAAATATTGCACTAACAGTGATTGCCAACTCAAACTTTCCCCAGAGCATCCTGGGGAGAACACCTTAGTATTTCCCCAGGCAGGTGACAAGGCTATACATACAGTCAGCCCTCCATATCTGCAGGTTCTGCATCCGCAGATTCAACCAACCCTAGACTGAAACTATCGAAAACAAAAAAAGACTTCTTTTCCTTGTCATTATGCTCTAAACTATACAGTGTAACTATTTACATATCATTTACATCGTATTAGGTATTATGAGTAATGTAGAGATGATTTAAAGTATACGGGAGGATGTGCCTAGGCTATATGCAAATATTATGCCACTGTATATAAAGGAATTGAACATCCTCGGATTTTGGTATCCACAGGGGTCCTGGAACCAACCTCCCTCAGATACCGTGCGGTGACTATAGTGTACCTGCCAAGCCAGCCCTCCTGGGTTACACCCTGGTTCTGCCACTCCCTAACCCTGTGCCTTTCAGCAAGTTGCTTAACCACTCTGTACACCAGGATCCTCATCTGCAAAACAAGAATAATAATTAGACCTGCCTCTGTAGCTTGCTGTGAGAAGTTACTAATTTAGATTAACACTTAGAATGGTGCCTGACTCATAGAATACACTAGATAAGTATTAGCTACAATTATTAACATTGTTAATGCTCTTGTTAGGTACCATCAAGTCACTTCCAACTCATAGTGACCATGTGTAAAACAGAACAAAACACTGCCCGGTCCTGTGCCATCCTCACAATCATTGTTATGCTTGAGCCTTCCTGCGCCATGCTCACAATCGTTGTTATGCTTGAGCCCATTGTTGTTGCCACTGTGTCAATCCATCTCGTTGAAGGTCCTCCTCTTTTTCGCTCACCCTCTACTCTACCAAGCATGATGTCCTTCTCCAGGGACTGGTGCCTCCTGATAACATGTCTGAAGTATGTGAGGTTTCTAAGTTGCATTCTCGCTTTACTTCTTCCAAGACAGATTTGTTCGTTCTTCTGACAGTCCATGGTATACTCAACAATCTCTGTCAACATCACAACTCAAAGGCATCGATTCTTCTTCAATCTTCCTTCATTGTCCAGCTTTCACATGCATACAAGGCAACTGAAAACACCATGGCTTGGGTCAGGCGTACCTTAGTGCTTAAAGTGACATCTTTGCTTTTTAACACTTTAAAGGGATCTTTTGCATCAGATTTGCCCAAGGCAATGCGTCCTTTGATTTCTTGACTGTTGCCACCATGAGCGTTGATTGTGGATCCAAGTAAAATGAAATCCTTTACAACTTGAATAATTTTCTCTGTTTATTATGATACTGCTTATTGGTCCAGTTGTGACGATTTTGTTTTCTTTATGTTGAGGTGTATTCCATACTGAAAGCTATGGTCTTTGATCTTCATCAGTAAGTGCTTCAAGTCCTCTTCACTTTCAGCAAGGAAGTTTGTGTCATCTGCATATCGCAGGTTGTTAATTCCTCCAATCCTGATGCCCTGTTCTTCTTCCTATATAGTCCAGCTTCTCTGATTATTTGCTCAGCATACAGACTGAATAAGTATAGTGAAAGGATACAAACCTGACGCAAACCTTTCCTGACTTTAAACCACGCAGTACCCCCTTGTTCTGTTTGAAAAACTGCCTCTTGGTCTAAGAACAGGTTCCACATGAGCACAATTAAGTGTTTGGAATTCCCTTTCTTCAAAATGTTATCCATAATTTGTTATGATTCACACAGTCGAATGCCTTGGCATAGTCAATAAAACACAGGTAAACATCTTCCTGGTGTTCTCTGCTTTCAGCCAAGATCCATATGACATCAGCAGTGATGTACCTTGTTCTGTGTCGTCTTCTGAATCCGGCTTGAATTTCTGGCAGTTCCCTGTGGATGTACTTGCTGCAACCGTTTTTGAATGATCCTCAGCAAAATTTTACTTGCATATGATACTGTTCAATAATTTCTGCATTCTGTTGGATCCCCTTTCTTTGGAATGGGTACAAATATGGATCTCTTCCAGGCGGTTGGCCAGGTCGCTCTCTTCCAAACTTCTTGGCATAGACGAGTGAGCACTTCCAGCGCTGCATCTGTTTGTTGAAATATCTCAATTGGTATTCTGTCAATTCCTGGAGCCTTGTATTTCACCAATGCCTGCAGTGCAGCTTGGACTTCTTCCTTCAGTACCATAAGTTCTTGATCATATGCTACCTCCTGAAATGGATAAATGTTGACCAATTCTTTTTGGTACAGTGATTCTGTGTATTCCTTCCATCTTCTTTTGTTGCTTCCTGCATCATTTAGTATTTTTCCTGGAGAATCCTTCAATATTGCAACTCAAGCCTTCAATTTTTTCTTTAGTTCTTTCAGCTTGAGAAATGCCAAGCATGTTCTTCCCTTTTGGTTTTCTATCTCCAGGTCTTTGCACATTTCATTATAATACTTTACTTTGTCTTCTTGAGCCACCCTTTGAAATCTTCTGTTCAGCTCTTTTACTTCATCATTTCTTCCTTTCACTTTAGCAATTCTATGTTCAAGAGCAACTTTCAGAGTCTCTTCTGACATCCATTTTAGTCTTTTCTTTCTCTCCTGTCTTTTTAATGATCTCTTGCTTTCTTCATGTATGATGTCCTTTATGTCATCCCACAACTTGTCTGGTCTTCAGTCATTAGTGTTCAATGTGTCAAATCTATTCTTGAGAAGGTCTCTAAATTCAGGTGGGATATACTCAAGGTCGTACTTTGGCTCTTGTGGACTTGTTCTCATTTTCTTCAACTTCAACTTGAATTTGCATATGAGCAACTGATGGTCTGTTCCACAGTTGGCCCCTGGCCTTGTTCTGACTGATGATACTGAGCTTTTCCATCATCTTCCTGCAGGGATGTAGTCGATTTGATTCCTGTGTACTCCATCTGGCATGGTCCACGCGTAGAGTCACCATTTACATTGTTGACACAAGGTATTTGCCATAAAGAAGTCATTGGTCTTGCAAAACTCTATCATGCGATCTCCAGCATCATTTCTATCACCAAGGCCATATTTTCCAACTACCAACCCTTCTTCGTTTCCAACTTTTGCATTCCAATCGCCAGTAATTATCAATGCATCCTGACTGCATGTTTGATCAATTTCAGACTGCAGAAGTTGCTAAAAATCTTCAATTTCTTCATCTTTGTCTAAGGCAGTTGGTGTATAAATTTGAATAATGGTCATATTGACTGGTCTTCCTTGTAGACATATGGATATTATCCTATTACTGACTGTGTTGTACTTCAGCATAGATCTTGAAATGTTCTTTTTGACGATGAATGCAACACCATTCTTCTTCAAGTTATCGTTCCTGGCATAGCAGACCATGATTGTCTGAGTCAAAATGGCCAGTATCAGTCTATTTCAGCTCACTAGTGCCTAGGATATCAATGTTTATGCATTCCATTTCATTTTTGACAATTTCCAATTTTCCTAGATTCATACTTCATACATTCCACGTTCCGATTATTAATGGATGTTTGCAGTTGTTTCTTCTCATTTTGAATCGTGCCACAACAGGAAATGAAGGTCTCAAAAGCTTGACTCCATCCATGTCATTCAAGTCAACTCTACTTTGAGGAGGCAGCTCTTCCCTAGTCATGTTTTGAGTGCCTTCCAACCTGAGAGGCTCATCTTCTGGCACTATATCAGATAATGTTCCACTGCTATTCAGAAGATTTTCACTGGCTAATTTTTTCCCGAAGTAAACCGCTAGGTCCTTCTTACTCGTCTGTCTTTGTCTGGAAGCTCAGATGAAACCTGTCCACCATGGGTGACCCTGCTTGTATCTGAATACCAGTGGCACAGCTTCCAGCATCGCTGCAACATGCAAGCCCCCAAAGTATGACAAACTGACAGACACATATAGTATTATAATAACTTGTATTACTATTACTGTTGTACCTGGGAGCTCCCTCTAGTAACGTTCACAAGGAAGGCATATCCATCAGCGCTGTGGGGGTCTCTACAGGGCTTTGCCTTTGGCTCACATCTATAGGTGGCAGCAGCAGAGGCTCAGTTTCTCCTCAAGTTTTCATGAGATAACCAGCTTTTATCTTCATCCTTCCATCTACTGTCTTCACAATGTTGTCATCATAACTTCATTAACTTGGGCGTTCATTCACACACCCTACACACATTTCACTCACCCAAAGATGCCCAAACTATGTTAATCTATGAAGGTATCATCTAAGAATCAGCCTAGTGACATTTTAATGTTGGAAGTATGATGACTTCAGTTTGACCAAGTAAGTGTTTGTCCTTCACCTGAGAAGCTGGGGCCCTCACTAATCCCTGGTTTCTGAGCAATATTTACATTCCCTTCTTAGAGGGCTTCCAGTTATGTTTTAGATTTTTTTTTTTTTTAAGTTCCATATGAAGTCACATATAAAAACCCAGCACCATTAAATGTACAGTGGACTGGAAATTAAGAGAGCCAGCTATACCACTGTGTGATCTTGAACACTTCATGAGTCTCTCCTTACAAGTAAAGACTAGCCACACAGTTAATCTCTTGATTCTTTATTTTAGACTGGCCAGCATCACATGATGTATCCATATTTAAATAGAAAATGTTTTAAAAGTATTGTTCACCACTGGTAAGAATAAAAGCTTCAGGTTAGCAGGCAGGCATCTAGCAAAGAAGACATGAGCTTCTTCCCTTGTGCTCCTTAGCCCACGCCTCCACATCCTTAATTTCTGATAATACCATATCATCATCAATATCGATCCATCTGATACTCTCTGATTTGGCTCCCTCCTAATTAGCAGTTATCACAAATATTTGCAATTATAAAGAACCTAGTAGCTCAGTGTCATGGATTGAATTGTGTCCTCCAAAAGTATGTGTTAGAATCTATACACAACGATGTAATCCTATTTGGAAATAGAGTTTGGTATATTTATTAGATCATACCTGAGTAGGGTGGGTTCTTCTAATCACTTCTGTGTTATAAAAGGAGATTAGAGACAGACAAACACACACACACACACAAACACACACACACACACACACACACACACACAGGGGTGGGAGAGGGGCTACGGATGATCATCTACACGCCAAGGAACCAAAAAACACCCAGGGCTACCAACAAGGAAGAACCAACATGGTTAAGACCCTGATTTGGTCTTTTAGCCTCCAGAACATTGAGAAAATAAATTTCTGTTCTTTAAAGCCACCTGCTTGTGGTATTTCTGTTACAGCAGCACTAGCTAACTAAGACAATCAGTAAATTCAATCCCTTCATTTTAACAGCAAGGAAAACAAGGCTGATTATGTGACCCCAAAATCACATATACATTAATTTACTTACTATGAGGTAAATAGAGCAAATATGTTTATCCTCATTTTTCACTGTGATCAAGAGAGGGTAAGTGACTGCCAGGGATATCCCTGTAACTAACATGGACAGACACAGACTTCAGGGCTCATTTATGGCTATCACATAAGAAATGCCTAATATAATGTACATTTAAATCTAACAAATTACTGGCAGTCCCCAGGTTACAAATGCAATCCATTCCTAAGTCTGTCTTTAAGTCGAATTTGTAGGTTAAGTCAGAACCAAACCAAAAACAAAACTCAAACCCACTGCTGTCGACTTGATTCCACTCACAACGACTTCATAGGTTTCCAAGGCTGTAAATCTCTACAGAAGCAGACTGCCACATCTTTCTCCTGTGGAGCCATTGATAGTTGCAAATTGCTGACCTTTCAGTTAGCAGTTAGGTACGTACAAAGTTACAGTGTTAACCGCAATGTAGTCCAACTTAAAATGATGGACGTCCTCAAGCCAATAAACCACTGAAGCCAAGCAATGTTTATATGAGCGTCACGGCAGTCCATTCTTAAGTACAAGTGGTCCGTAAGTCGGACGTTCTTAACCCAGGGACTTACTGTATTTAAAATTGCAAATTCCTCAAGGGCACAGTATCTCTGTCTACTTCATTCACTGAAGTATCCCACATGCCCAGAACAGGGCCTGGCACAGAGTAGGTCTTCAATAAATATTTGCTGAATGAATGAATGTTTGTAAAACATTACTATCAGTCTGTAGTCTACCTATAACTACTACCTTATGTTCTACATTCATAAGAAATGACATTGTTTGTAGGCCAATGTCTTAAGTTTTCTATTGTTGCTATAACAGAAATTATAACAAGTGGGTAGCTTTAATGAACAGAAATATATTTTCTCACAGTGTAGGAGGCTAGAAGTCTGAATGCAGGGTGCCAGCTCTAGGCGAAGGCTCTCTCTCTCCCTCTCTGTCGGCTCTGGGGAAAGATCCTTGTCTTTTTTCAGCTTCTGTTCCTCAGTTCTTCGGCGATCTTCATGTGGCGTGGCATCTATCTTCCCCTATCTGTGCTTGCTTGCTTCTGTACCTAATCTTTTTAAATCTCAAAAGTGATTGGCTTAAAACATACCCTACACTGACATGTCCTCATTAACATAAAGAAAACTCTATTCCCAAAAGGGATTACATCTATAGGTATAGGAATTCGAATTTACAACACATATTTTTGGGGGATACAATTCAATCAATAGCAGTCCTTCTTACCCTGAATTTTTCCTACTCAGTTACTAACAGTCATATTTATATAACATCAATAAAACATCTTATTTATTGCTAAATGGATAAATCCTTAAACTAATACAAAAGGTGATGGAGAATCAAGTTACATGTGTTTTCCCAAAAATTTAGTTCATAAATATTTCAAAAGGTAAGAAAACTAGAAAAAATATAAGTCAACTATAGAGTTAGTGCAGTGTTTGATGTTGCAGCCATTTATGGTTTCATTCTCACAAGAATAAACAATGACATCCATCATTTACTATCCTAAATTGACTAAATAATAACAACAACAAAATCAGTTACCTAAAAATCAGGTATTTAAGAATCAGCAAAAGTAAATAAGGTAACAGTTTAATTTCGTCTTTGCTCACTTTTTGTTAATATTTGAAGATCTTCAACAGATGGTGGTCCATTTTTTTTCTCATAAGGAATGACTGTTGTCAAGTACTGCCAAGTAAAGAAAAAAGAGCAATGCATCACTTAAATCTGAATGAAGTTATCTGCAAAAACCTGATACAGTTACTAAAGGGTCTATTTTATAACCTAAAACATGAGTTACTTCGGTAATGAAAACACAAGTATGTATAGGAATAAAGGTATCTTACTATCTCAGTTGGAGCTCATTTTTCTTTTTTAACCACATCTATCTGTTTATACAAATACACTGTCAACATAAATAGCCACTTACTTTTTTGTATTTCATTGTTGAAAATTTCACAGGACTAGGGCTGAGGATGATTTGTTCATTGTTCATTTTTAAAGTAAAGCCTTATCTAACAGTCTACTTGCATATTTTTCTGCACTTTTTTTAAGGAGCTATTAAAACCAAAAACATAGCTGAAACAGCTGTGCACGACAAAATAATTTTCAACAGCCGAATAACTCACTTTCAGACCATTTTTACTCTGGTTGAACAAAATGGTCACATAAATAACTTGGTAACTTTAAAAACACCTACCAGCTTTTTCCAACAGCCAACAAAGACATGCTTCATCTTTACATACATTTTAGACGTGTATTATTATTTTAAATTATTATGTAAGTAGTTATAAATGCTTAAAGGTATTAAAGGAAAAGAGGAAAGGAAAGAACGGCCTAAAGGGAAATGAATGGTGAAAATTCATGTTTGAAATGGAGACAACTACCTATTTCACTACTTGTGAAGGCTCACACGTATCAGAGTTATAGCCTATATTTCCTAAAAGCATAATCTAAAAATTATTATCCAGATTATCGTATTCTCACCACCACACCAAAAATATACGTACAGTTTACATCTGCATAGGTTCATATGGAAACCTACTGGTTTTTATTTGTGATCTTTTCAACCTCACCCCTTACTTAGCCCCACGCCCTAAATTTCAGCTCTATTTATAATTCTCAATGAGTGGTCTCACCCCAGCCATAATCAAAAAACTAGATCAAGAATGTCACTTAACAATAACTAGATCCCTCGAACCAGAAAAGCAGTCAAGTAGTTTTCCACCACCTTTTCCGTGTAGACTTCTACGAGGCGATGCCTAATTACACAACCAAATGTGTGTCTTTGTAAAGACAGTCATATACCCTTTAAAGGCTTCATAATAGCAAGTGTGCCAGGCAGCTCCAAGAAGCACCAAGTCGCCACATCATGGCCCACATGCTATCTGGCTAGCTTATGTGTCTTCCTGTCCCATTCCCAGATGCTGGATCAGTTTGGAAGTTATTTTGCCATATTGTGGGTTTGAGAGAGGTGAGAGGCACCAGAAAAAAAAAAAAAATAGTAAGTTCAGCCTTCTTTTCATGGAGGCCCTTTCTGAGCTGCACATGTCAGTGTGAACCTCCCTTCCTTAATGTCGATTCTCTCCCTTCTTGAATAATACGGAACTATCTTCAGTAAAACTCTAGGCTCAAATGCCTTCTGCTGATAAACTGCCTATAAGCTACATTCTACATACCTTCTTAAGAACTAACTTAGTCTTTCTTTTGAACTGGAAATTTCAAATTGTGATATTCCTTAAATTATAATACAAAGATGTTAATAAAAAGCAAAGTGAAACACATTTGAGTGTAATTATACCCATTCACAATTTTGTATAAATAATGCCTTTGCTTTTCACTAAGTTAGCTGACTATGTAATTTAAACCTCATGAATTTCATTTAAAAGGAGGTAAGATACATTTTTTTTTTGACATTTCAACATTTTTTAGATGTACAATTCTGGAACAGCAATTATATTCATCATGTTGTTCAACCATCATCACTAAGAATACACCTATTTTTGACCTAGACCTTTGGTCTAAAAGACACCAACATCTGGCTTTCTTCCCCCACACATGAGATCCTGTTCCTCAGGCCTTTAGAATTTGAGTAGCATATCCTCATTTAATTATTGTCACAATCAGATTTTCTATGCATGCAATTCATTATGTCAACGTGTTAATATCTACTTGTTTAAGGGTAAGAGTGAGAAATGGAGCTCTTGAACATATATTAAGAATGCATTTAGTCTACTGTCCATTTTGAAAAATGCTTTTTCCCCAAGGGAAATTCTGTTCATTACCAAGACTATAAATATAATTAGCTTTCATTTCTTTCTTTTAAGCAATGGTCTGAGTAAATTAGTAAAACTGGCAGCTTTCCAGCTCTTCACTTACACAGAGAATCAACAAGCAGACAATGAGGAAAATAAGGATAACCGAGCACCTGTTTCTCTCCACCTGAATTTCCAAAGGTGTGGCGGAGGCCATTCTGAATGACATTTGAGATCCCTTCCATGCTGAAGCGCTACAGGCAGCAGTATATGGCCCGGAGGAAAAGGACAGAGAAAGAAGTTCAGAGACTATTAGTAAGAATGTACCATGATAACTTGTGTGCCCAAGACGTAAGCAGTTAGAAAATGCCACTACTTATTCAGATAAAGCAGACAAAATCATGCACCTTTTAACATTTTTGCTTTCATTTCTTTGCAAATCAAATGCAAAAGCCGCTGCTTTTATGATAGTATATTCACAAAGATTTGTCCTGACATCGCTAATAAGTAAATGTGTTCCAATATCATCACTGTAAGTTATACTTATCGACTATCCCATTATCTGACATTTGGCATTTATGACAATAATAAAAAATCTACTATCTGACTAATTTGTGCATTAATGACGTACGTCTGGCAGTAATGAATGCTGAGGTGTGAGGTTAGAGTAACGCTGGCTATGATGGTTATGGTTATGTGTTAACTTGGCTGGGCCACGATTCTCAGTGGTTTGGCAGTTATGTGATGATATAATTTGGCAGTAATGTAATGATGTAATTTGGCAGTTATGTAATGATATAGTCATCCTTTATTTTGTGGCCTGACGTGGTCATCCTCCATTTTTACATAACACCAATTTTCACGTAACAACGTGGTCTTTGGAACCTAACCATGTCTGTAAGTGAGGAGTGGGTGTATTGGTTTTAGACAAAATTTATCACAGAATTTGCAAGATACATTTTGATACTGTTTACCTACATTTTATCAAAAGTCTGAAAACCTGATACTAACAGAATGTATATTTTCAGTCAAAGTTTGCATGTTTCTACCACAAGTTTGGAGAAAATTAACATCACATTTGGCAAACAAAAATGCTGTTACTTGGGGAGATGGTAATCACCTCCCTCTCAATCTTCAGGCTACCTGTCACTGCCCCAGTATAAAAAAAAAAACACCAGCCAAAGCAGCATATGTGCTTCCTGTAGGGCATGGGGCAGCACATTAAACACAGAGGCCCCTAGAAACTTCTGCAAAGACTTTTTCACTCAGTTTCTAGGAAACAATTCTAGCCTCTTCCTCCCAACAGCCTTCAACACTTCCTACAGTCCATTGTACTGAACAGGGAATACTTTTTTGCTAACTGCTTCTCTTGATTTGTAACCAGTCTACAGTGTCCTCAGACACAAATAAAAGTCCAATGGCACCTCCCTGGCTACTGAGTCAGAGGAGTTAGACTGCGTCTGATGGCATGACTAATTAAGAGGAAAGGCATCCTGGGAAGAAGTTCATTCCTGACTCACCAAATGGCTCCTTCCCCTGGAATTTTTTTGGGAGAAGTTTAATTGGCAAACACGTTTCAGGAGTCAACACAGAGAATATTTTACCAAGCCCCAAAGGGTATAAGAAAAGAAACCAAGACTATGGTCCTCGCCCTCAAGAAACATAAAAGTTTAGTCCAGTGCTTCTCAAAGTGAGGTCCAGGGACCCCTAGAACCCTTTCAGAGTATCCATGAGCTTAAAATTATATTCTTCATAATACTGAGCCATTATTTGCCTTTTTCACTCTAATTTTCTCAAGACTCACGGTGAAAGGTTCCAAAGGCTAAATTACATGTGAAATCACAACAGACTGAATGCAGAAGCAGATATGAAACTCTAGCTGCTTTTGATGAAGCCTGGTGTTACAGTTATAGTTTCATTAAAAAAAAATATGCTATTCATGTAAGCAGGAGTGAGTTTATTACTGGTATTTTTTAATGAACCAATAAATACTCTAAGTGTATCAGAAATAGAAACTGATAAATAATTTACCAGTTTTGCTTTCTAATACAGTAAATATCAACTGATATAACCTACATAAACAAAAGCGCTCAGGGTCCTCAATAATTTTAAGATTGTAAAAGAGTCCTGACAGCAAAACACTGAGAAACACCAAAAGGTTTAATCCTTGGAGGAGCTAACCATGTGCCTCTGTATCAGTCACGTAACTCAATAGTTTTACTGAAAAGTTGAGTGTTAAATTTTAACAGTACGTGAGAGCTCCTACAACTACACCTCTTCCCCTGAATCTTCGTTCTTCACAAAGCAGTCCTTTCCAGATCCATGCACCAATTTTACTTCAGCAAGAATCAAAGGCCTGCTCAAGACACCTCAACTGAACACTCTCCACTGTGCTGACAACATAATTATCACCTCTGATGTAGGAGGATAGTTTTAAAGGAAAAACCTATAGGTAACTATTTCTGTAGGACTTCTTGCATGTTATCATCATGTAATTTGTTTACAATGTTTAAACAGACTATCAAAAAAGATAACATCTTAGGCTCCAGAGTCTGCAATAAAAATTATGAGAAACTATTTTCGAATAAATAAGTCAACTCGCTTTTTAAAAATTATTTCTATTAAATATGTTTCCTTCCAAAAGCAACAAAGAGAAAAATAGCTTTTATCAGTTTAGATTACCTAAAGGCTTTATTATCTATGAGCATGTTAAAGCTAGGTATAAATTCAGAAACTCTCAAACAAGGTAAAAAGTTTTAGAATCCATATACCAGAAAACTAAATTATATTTTATATTCAAATGGTGCATGCTAAAAATACTATCTTTACTTATGCAATTGGAAACCTAACTCCTACTGCTAACAAAAAATTGATGCAAACTTTTAAATTCATAAGATATTCACCTGATTTAAAAAAAAAAAAAAAATTGCCATCGAGTCAATTCTGACTCATACTCACAGTGACCCTATAGGACAGAGTAGAACTGCCCCACAGAGTTTCCAAGGAGCGACTGGCGGATTCAAACTGTCGACCTTTTGGTTAGCAGCCATAGCACTTAACCACTACACCACTAGGATTTCCTTATGTGATTTAGGTTTCCCTGATTAAATCTGCAGTTGTGGACATTACAAAAGCTGAGCCATTTCAATGACTGCTAAACTGACTGCTGTTGTTGTTAGGCTCTGTCAAGTTGATTTCAATGCATGGCAACCCCATTTGAAAGAGTAGAACTGCCCCATAGGATATTCTTGGTTGTAATCTTCACAGAAGCAGATTGCCAGGTCTTTATCCCATGAAGCTGTTAAGTGGGTTCAAACCGCCAACCTTTTGGTTAGCAGCTGAGCGGTTAACCATTTGCACTACCAGGGCTCCGCTGGTAACCTGACTACTTGTGAAAGATAGTTTTCACACAAGCAGACTCCAGGCTCAGTGGAAATAACTGAAAATGCAATCATGTGAAACCAAGGTAACTAGTGATGCTAGTGAAGGAAGTTAAAGTAAAGGAACTTTCAGTAGAACCTCTGCACTTGCAGTTAGTAGTAGATGAGTCAGCAGATGTGGCCAATAAGTCTGCCCATATCCCAACCAACAGGGAAGAACAGGCTTAGCATTTCTCAAGGTAAAAGAACTAAAGAAAAAATTCAAGACTCGAGTTGCAATATTGAAGGATTCTATGGGCAAAATATTGAAAGATGTAGAAAGCATAAAAAGAAGATGGAAAGAATACACAGTCACTGTACCAAATAGAATTAGTCGACATTCAGCGATTTCAGGAAGTAGCATATGCTCAAGAACTGATAGTATTGAAGGAAGAAGTCCAAGCTGCACTGGAGTTAGTGGTGAAATACAAGGCCGCAGGAATTGAAGGAACACCAATTAAGATATTTCAATAAACGGATGCAGCACTGGAAGTGCTCACTGGTCAGTGCCAAGAAATCTGGAAGACAGCTACCTGGCCAACTAACTGGAAGAGATTCATATTTATGCCTATTCCAAAGAAAGGTGATCCAAGATAATGCAGAAATTATCAAACAGTATCATTAATATCACACGCAAGTAAACTTTTGCTAAAGATAATTCAAAAATGGTTGCAGCAGTACATCGACAGGGAACTGCCAGAAATTCAAGCTGGACTCAGAGGAGGACATGGAGAGAGGGATATAATTGCTGATGTCAGAGGGATCTTGGCTGAAAGCAGAGAACACCAGAAAGATGTTCAGCTATATTTTATTGACCATGCAAAGGCATTCGACTACGTGGGTCATACCAAATTATGGATAACACTGCGAAGAACAGAAATTCCAGAACACTTATTTGTGCTCACGCAGAACCTGTACATAGACCAAGAGGCAGTCATGCAAACAGAGCAAGGGATACTACATGGTTTAAAATCAAGAAAGGTGTGCGTCAGTGTTGTATCCTTTCACCATACTTATTCAATCTGTATGCTGAGCAAATAATCCAAGAAGCTGGACTAAAGGAAGAAGAATATGGTTTCAGGATTGGAGGAAGACTCATTAACAACCCACAATAGCAGATGACACAAGCTTGCTTGCTGAAAGTGAAGAGGACTTGAAGCACTTACTGATGAAGATCAAAGACAGCCTTCAGTATGGATTGCACCTCAACATAAAGAAAACAAAAATCTTCACAGCTAGTCCAATAAGCAACATCATGATAAACAGAGAAAACGTTGAAGGTGCAAAGGATTTCATTTCACTTGGATCCACAATCAACACTCATTGAAGCAGCAGTTAAGAAATCAAACTACATACTGCATTGGGCAAATCTGCTGTAAAAAACCTCTTTAAAGTGTTAAAAAAAGGAAAGATGTCACTTTGAGGACTAAGGTGCACATGACCCAAAGCATGGTATTTTCAATCACCTCATACGCATGATGGAAACCCTGGTGGCATAGTGGTTAAGAGTTACGGCTGCTAACCAAAAGGCAGTTCAACAAATATTGTATAAGACCACTATTATAGGAACTCAAGAAAAAGTTTAAACACAGAAGACAACATTCTTTGATGGCTACCAGGGTTGGGAGGGAGGGTGAGGGTTATTCACTAACTAGATAGTAGATAAGTATTATCTTAGGTGAAGGGAAGGACAACACAGGCTACTGGGGAAGTCAGCACAACTGGACTAAACCAAAGCTAAGAAGTTTCCTGAATACAATCAAACACTTCAAGAGACAGAGTAGCAGGGGTAGGGATTTGGGGACCATGCTTTCAGGGGACATCTAGGTCAACTG